TTAATACAACTTTTTAGTTCGGCCTGACAAGTTGTATCCTATATGATGATGAATAAATATATGCTTTATATGCCTAGGATTATTTGGAAACTTGATATCCAAGGGGATGGCTATGACACTGACTTTCCTTAGGTGAACACACCAAGAGTTTCTTTTGTTAATACAACTTTTTAGTTCGGCCTGACAAGTTGTATCCTATATGATGATGAATAAATATATGCTTTATATGCCTAGGATTATTTGGAAACTTGATACCCAAGGGAATGGCTATGACACTGACTTTTCTTAGGTAGTTTCTTTTACTAATACAATTGAATGTATTGTCAAAATGTGAAAATGAAGTGATGACAACTTCTCAGTGTAATCCGTTTCTAGACGGCACCAATTATCCAAAGACGCTAATAAAAGTTAAAAGACCAGTTTGGGTGATTTTTCCTAAAAAGCGTTCCTTGAGCTTAACCGATGGAGCTTCAATCAGATAGAGTATCAACAAGTTGGGTTTATTTTCAATTAAAATAATTAACAACCTATGTTAAAATCACTGGATCTTCACGTGTTATTTTTGTAGACAAAGATGTAAAAATATTAGATATCTTTAAATAAAAATTAGTTTACAATTAAATTATGATATATCTCAATGAATACATTGCGAGAACAACATTTTTAAGTAGTATTTGCCGTCGTTCTATTGCTTTTCTGTCCCATTCTTTCCGGTTTGATGATTGGCTCAATGCGCCCTTTTACTCCGGAAAAGGGAAAGCGGACAACAATAAGAAAAGATTGGGAGGTCATCGGTTTCCACTTTCACCTTTAGCAAAATAGATCAAACAAACACACCAGCTAAAAATACAAGCGCAAGATGGAAACTTAAATAGTCTTCCGTGAAGGTGACATGTATACTTTGAAAATCAAGTTTATTATAATAAAACGTCTTTGTGGGTTATGTTGCTTGATTGTAATTATTATTGATTCAACTTTGGCAGTTTTTATTACAAAATATTAGCATTGACTCTAATTCACCTTCCGTCGTGGAATAATTTAATAAATTGTCTGAATATTTAAAGTACGTAGACCAATTTTAGGGGGAAAGATTGAATCATTCGACATTTTCAGATTGATCATGTCCGAAGGTAATTTAATAAAATGTGTACATAATTACGGTACAGCCCAAACCGTCGTCCAATCAATCGGTTATTTCTCCTGGCTGCTGACCGTCCCGCGATTATTTGACCAAATACTATTATTAAATTAATTATAAATCAATGATTTAATAAACGCCAACTTTTGTCGAACGCGGATGCGCAACCACATCATTTTTTATATTGCGCTGATTCAAAAGTAGCTTGAATTTTAAAAATTCGCGAGTTTGACACAATAAAATGAAATATAAAGAAGCAGACTGAAAAACACTTTTTAGTGTAATAGAAGCTGGTAAGATCAAAATGCAAGTTTTAAGAGGGTGCAAGGGCGTCCCTCGTATTTGTCAAGATAAAGGTTCTGAGTTCCATTCCCAGCAAATGCCACAAAATTTTAATTGCTAATCAAATCTAAAAGATATTGTAAAGTTGTTTGATCCCGTCTGCGTCACTGATAGGTGGACGTTTACGGCTTTCCGTTTAACAGGAATTACTTCACTTCGTTTTATTTTACCTTAAATTAATTAAGGTTTTTAGTTGAGATAAAAAAGTCAATGTCACGAGGGGGATTCGAACCCACGACCTTCGGCTTGATACGCCGCTGCTCTACCACTTGAGCTATCGTGACTTCGATCCACTCGGACACTAACTTCCCATCTCAACCTAATCTTTTGAATTTTTCCCTCCTTTTTGCCATTTTTCAATCCTTTCAATCCCGCTCGTGACACTGACTTTTTTATCTCAACTAAAAACCTTGATTAATTGAAAGATATTAATTGTTCAAACGGACCACAAAAACTAGTGAATTTACCTTAAATTTAATAAAAACTGACAAATCAACATAATTGATGTTTGATATATAAAAATATCGAGTTAGAAGAGAAAGAGAAATTAAGAATTTATTTACTGGTTATTTTAAGTATACAGAAAGATAAAACGTGTTAAATATATCAATTCATTCTAACGTAATTACAATACTGTCCTTTGAACCACACTTTTTTACCTCCTCTAAATTTATCTTAATCTGAATGAATTATAATTATAAAAACCAACCTCATATCACCCCCAGTCTTGTTACTACTTTCGGAAAAATATTTGAGAAACTGCTCCTATCTCGCTTCCAAGTTATCCTAATTACACCCAATAATATAATTGAAAATAATGGTTCTATTCACAAGTTGGTTTTGCAGCAATTCGGATTTTGAGCTGTAATCGGTCATCATCAGAATATACAAAACATGTACAAGTGCGTATTTGACGCATATTGTAGACATTGATCAAATCCACGTCTAGGCGATTCCTCAATTAAGAACTGTTCTTCGTCAAATTCCATAACCATTTTTTATTTACAGACCAACACGTTTTCTAATAATTTATTGAAATTATGATTTAAATTCAGATATCCATCATATTCATGGCGTTGTGGACATCATATACACCTCCAGTGGAAGGTACCGTACGTAGGTATTTTTCTAGATGTATTCCATTCGAGACAGTATCTGGCAACAAAGGTCGTTTTTTAAATCAAGGGCAACTTTCCCACTTTATATTTCTCATTCTTAAATCTTATCTCTCAGATCATTTTTCTCAACTAATCTCGTACTGCATTTGAGCGCCTTTTTCTCTTCCATTCACCACAGTCTGCAAGTGTACCTCGAGAGAGCATCTTAGGTCAACTCTCTTAATTATCTGCTGGCATGTACCGTCGCCAACGACTTCCTTGGACTTCGCACACCAGACTTACATAAGCAGATTTAAACTTCAGTATAGAATGATTAAAAGAATACTTGACAGAATTTCAAAATGAGAGTAGAAAACAAAAAAATACTTTACACAGTCCATATGGATTTAAAGGACTAGTACTATATGTTATGCCATGTACTAACCTAGACAGAATGAGACAGGGGATTATCCCTCCTATCTCGAATGCTTCCTTCGTTGAATCTCTTTCTCCAGTCACACCGTAATTCCGTCCTACAAATACCATTAGTCTCAAGTTTACCCCAGTCCTGATATATCCGATTCCACTGAAAACTATCTACAAATCCGAATCATCGTATTAGAATTTTATCACTTCCATGTCTTCTTAAAAACTAATAAAAGAAACTGTCCTTTCCTTCTATGGAATCCGCTACTTTCTTGTCTTCTATTCCATGTCCTGGGTCTTAGTACAGTGATCCTGTTTTGTACACCTAACCTTTTTAATTTGACGATATTTTTGTTAATATGATGGCTGCCATCTGATGTGATAACTATAACCTTTTATATCCTCTTCAAATTAGATTAATACATCTTCCAAATGCATGAATTTTGGCTTGAAGGTTAGTTGAGTGTTTACCTATAGGCACTGAATAATTGGACTTTAGGGCCGGTGTACCAAAACATCTTCCTTAACTGGGTTTTTATCTTTCCCCACACTGTTTTATTAGAATTGTGGCACCACAGTGTTTTTTTTCTCTACGCAGAATCTGCACGTACCAGTTGGTGCAGATCTTTTCCAAGTGCCCATTCAGTGTCTGCAGCGCCCGTCAGGAATCTTAACAAAACTCGGACTACCCTGCGTCCGATGAATTATGTAGTTGCTTTCCAAATATAACAAGCTAGTTTTCGGATTGGTTGTGTGCAGCAAGTGATTTCCAGTCACTTTCACCGTGCTTTCTTTCCTAAGATGGTCGTTGATGGCTTCAAAAGAGTTCCTATTTCTGCATGCTCTGAAATCCAGATTTTTGCGCATCCAACCTATTTAGTTTGATGATATTTGAGTTTAATGCCTGGTTTCTTCTAATATCTCCTGGTATAATCAATGGGCTTCTCTAGCCCAGAAATACTCATGCCCCTGGCAAACCTCCGGTGTTCGGGAGAATCTTTCGGACCTTCCTTACAAAATAATCGAAGTTCATAGAGAAGAAGCTGTGAATAAGGAAAAAAGCACTGAGAGGTTCTACTCGTATAAGGAACTTTTCAAAGAACACCTACTGCCATATAAACCAAGCCTTTCCCAGGACCTTAATATTAGAGATTCTTGTTGGCTATTCAAACTAAGAGGAGAATTGTTATATTTGAAATTCAAACCCTGGGTTTTGAATGATTCTCAAGATGAAACTTGTCCACTTTGTAACAGCCACGCCAGGGAAGATTCATATCACTTTTTGGGAGTCTGCTCTCTTCTCTCAGAATTGCGGGTATCTTACCTGGAAAAGACAGTCATCTCCAGAGTTGAAATACTGGAATATCATTCTAACCTAGTATCCCCTTTACAGCTAATTTCCTTTGCTCGGCACGCCTGGAGAGTGAGATACGAGTGGCTTTCAGATATGCAATAATTGTCGTCCCTGTACATATACTTTTACTTTTATTGCTTTGTTTTTTAGTACTCTATCAGTTCTCAAAAGGTAATTTGTTCTTATTTAATTATTTTTTTCTTCTTTTTTCTTATATTTCCATCTATTATGATTCATACACCTGCTATATGTTAATTTTCTTTTCTGCTTCTGAATATTTAGTTTTTATCGCCAAATACTCATATCCTTGTACTATCTTGCTTCTAGATGTATCGGTGTACCAAAAAGTAGCTTCTTCCTTCACTGGTGTGTTTTCCTTTTTCTCAGTTTATTTTGGTACAAGTATGTTTTCAAGTTTTGCTTGAGTACAAATGTCTTTTTATATCATCCCTAGGAGCCATGCATATCGGTTATTCTCGTCTGCTGATAACCCACCGATTTCTTGTATAAATTACTACTTTTGTTTTTAAGACTATGATTTTGTTGATAAGAAGTTTATGATATGCTATATCTTTTTATAGATTATACTAAAATATAATAAATTCACTGACAGGCAAAAAATTCCACCCAATTGATTTTTTTTCATTTTCTCGATAAAAGAAAATTCTGCCATTAATTTGTCTCATTGTTTTTACAAATAAATATTTGTTTATGCTGTTTTAAATTGGGAATATCAATTAGAGGTAAATACACTTGTTTAATCTAAAACAAAGATAGAGGATTGTTCAATGTTTACTTTTCACGGAATTTAAAATGTTTATTCAGTCTCATTTGAATTCTAAAGCAATAAACTGTTTAGTTTTCATCTTTGTTTTTTTAATTTCAATTTTTAAACTTAAAAATGCTACTTAGTGCTGGGTATGTTGCGCGTGGGGCATGGACGTTCCAGCAGATATGCTGCTGTTACCATCGGATATCCGTAGGAAACTACGAGAAGCCGTTAGACATTTTCGAGAAACTGGGTCCTACCATGGAAGGCCCGGTTCTGGATGCCCTAGGATATCAAAAACACAGGATGACCGTTTTTTGACTTTGAGAATTTTGCGAAATGTTCAAGCGATTATCAGCTCCAGGAAGTTGAAGGTGTTCAAATTTCTGAACGCACTGCTCGAAGAAGATTAAATCAATATGGCTTTTCGCCGCGTGAGAGAACTAGAATTAACCAGAACACACAGAGTTGCACGGCTCGCATTTTCTCGAAAACACAGCCATTGGTCCTTTGACGATTGGTCTCCTGCACTTTTTACAGATGAGTGTAGATTTGTTCCACGATCTCCAGATAAGAATGAATGTAATTTTTCCCAGAGCCAATTTTTTCAACGTAGCTCAGTGATGGTGTGGGCGGGAATTTTAATGGAGAATCGCACGGAGTAGGTTGTTTTTCGTGGAGGGTTTTTGACGGCCTCTCGCTATGTGGAGGAAAGTTTTTCATGCGTTGCCTACCCTCGATGTAATCACCGACAATTCTATTCTAAGGCACGATAGAGCCCGTCATATGTGACTCGCTACAAATACAAACGTACCATGGACAGCATAACATCAGGTTTGATTGAGCTAGATTTGAATCCCATCGAACATTTATGATGTAACCTCAAAAGACAAATAAGAGCACAAGCATCGCTTCTTAATACACTCCACGATCTTGAAAGGTCTTTTTATGAAGAATGAGCTAACCTCCAGCAAAGAGACATTTCCAGACTGGTAGAAAGTATGCCGAGGCGTCTTCGAGATGTAATTAAGGCAAGAGGAGGGAATACGCAAAATGAAATGTTAATTAAAAATATAAAATATAATAAACAAAGTGGGGCGCGTCGGTGGCAAGGTTTAGTCTTTGACACGGCGCTCATCACTGTAAGGTAAAGGTCCCGGGTTCGAATCCAGCGGCCCTGCATTCGAATCCGACATACTTACAAATGGGCTTTTTTTCAAAAACACCGGCACCCTTATATGACCTCTGCAAAAAAAGTTTATCTATCCGTCTTTCTTTTTTTTTCATTTTTCATTTTCCGTAGCAATTTACATTTTTTCAACTTTTTTGGGTAAATATTCAATGATTAAACGCTAAAATAGTGAAAATTTGATTATTATATAAAATATATACAAATCAAGTTATATTACGTGGGTGAAATTTTTTGCCTGTCAGTGTATTTGCATGTAAGCAAAAAGTAAAGTCTGTTTTAAGTAAAGTTGTGCGGTGATTAGTGACCGTTAATCGATATTTATTTAGAAATCGTGAGATGCTGTCTGGTGTGATGTAGGTTTCAGAAAACCATTTTCTTTATCGTGCCAACGTTTCGATCTTTATTGAGATCATCTTCAGGGCTCAGTGTTTGTCTTCTGTGTATTTGTGCCATTCTTGCGTGTCGTGTCGAGAGTGCCAAAAGAAAATGTTTTTCTGAAACCTACATCACACCAGACAGCATCTCACGATTTCTAAATAAATATTTAAGTAAATTCACTACTTTCGTGGTCCGCTTGACCAATTAATACACGCCAATTAATTTTTCATCTCAACTAAAATCCTTAATTAATTGTCATATTTAAGTAAAGTTTTACGCCCATTATTGATCGTCATAAACGAGTGGTGTGAATATAAAATGAGGATAAAATTAGTCTGATTGTGAGATCTAAAAAATGAAACATCTAAAAATTGTCAATTTGTTCGATGTGATCTTTGCCCCCTTTAACCCTGATGCGGGCGATCATTTTGCGACATTGAATTTGCCTCTAGAGCCGGTGTTTGATCAATAATTCTCGAACAATCGGATTTGAATTCTGACTCGCATATTGGCCAATTTTTCACCATCGATTAGGGATCACGACACTGATCGAGTCTCATCTGTCATGTCTAAACTGATCGAACGAAAAAAAAACCCAGACATTAAATGGATATCCACGAGCTTTTATGGCCAAAGGAAGAAATCAGGATGAATTTTCGCGTAAAACTATTTGGTCAATGGTAGATATTATTCATGGCCAATTTGCCGAATATTCTTTTACACAGGTGAATTATTTCTTTATTTTTTTGCGGTTGACTATTTTCCATTATAGATTGGTTTCTAAAAAGTCTAACTTTCAGGTATTCCATAAACCCCTGAAAAAGGCTCTTTTTTGTATGCTTAAAAGATTCTTACACCATCCAATTTTATGCCCTTTATTTCCGTATCACTGCGTTTGTATTGTACAAAACGACCAGTTTATACTAGTAATAAACAATTTTTAACATAATAACAAACAACAAAATTTCATAGACAGAAATGCAATGGAAAATAACTGGCTCGTTAGTAGAAGTGTTAACAGTGTTAAATAAAGGTTCTGTGTGGATTTGTAAAAGGTCTTAAAACTTTAAACCTTCGAGATAGAGGTGGAGAACGATTGGACGTGGCTTAATTCCTCCCGAGGGATAAAAATGGAGGCAAGGAGAACCTAATGAATAGCAAACAAGGTCATGTTTTTCTATGTTGTAACGAACAGTATCATTTCAAGTCGGGACAAATGGAATGAATAATATAGAACGAGAAAGAGTTTGTATCTATATTCTGTACATTTGGAAGAAAGAAACAGTAGGTTGTTGTTGAAAAACATGAAACACATCTAAATGGTTTTTAATTAACTTAAGTAGTAAGAATATTTACAGTTGTGAGTATAACAAGTCTATTAGAATAGTAAAAATAAATTTATTGCAGCGTGTTCAAAGAAACTCCAGTGGCTCCCAGTTAAACGAAAAAACGCTTTTATTTTGAGAACCAACTCAAAGACAATACATAAAATAAATATTAATAAACCATTAAAACAGAACTTGTTCAGAACCCTACGCATATATAATGGAATTTTTAATTTTTTAAAACTTTTTATTTATACATCCTTTTATGTTTAGTGGTCTAATTGACCAAATCACTTTTTTTAATTAATTATTCTTTTTATGCAAGGTCTTGGTTGAGATGAAAATGTTAGTGTCACGAGCGGGATTCGAACCCACGACGTTCGGCTCAATACGCCGCTACTCTAACCACTTGAGCTATCGCTTTTTATACTGTACCTTTAACAAATACAGTTCTCTATGTCGTGCTAATCCTGGTTATATACAAGTGCATTCATGATGGTTTAGCTAATCGTTAGCCGTGTAGTACACGAAATATATTAAAGAGAAAAACTCCGTCCTGGTGATTTTTGGTGAACAAGCTGGAAAAATTAATTCAGGTTAATGAATTAAGCTTTCAATTAATTAAGGTTTTTAGTTGAGATAAAAAATTCAGTGTCACGAGCGGGATTCGAACCCATGGCCTTCGGCTAGATACGCCGCTACTCTACCACTTCGATCCACTCGGCCGCTAACTTCCCATCCCAACCCCATCTTTTGAATTTTCCCTCTGTTGACGCTCAAGAAGCTTCATATTTTGTTGTTTTCGGCTGACCAAGGTTCGCCTCGGGAGGCCCTGTTTAAATCGCTGAGGGCCCTATTGTTTTTATTTTGGCAAGCGATAACGCCGGTATCTTAGGCCTTTGCACTGGAGTAAATTAGTCTCTCGCTTGCCTGGGTCAGCACAAGACGCACCGTTTACCGAATCGATTATCGAACCTAATATCGATTTTCTTTGGACTTTCACCATCGATTCAAGTTCAACACCTTGTCGGCCCATGACCGACCTTACGGACTACGTCTACTGTTTCGTCATCCGGCTCTACCTAGGCACCTTCGTCGAAGTGGAACCCAGGAGGAACCTCCAGCTCAACACCGCTTATTTTGATTGCTTAGAGAAGCGAGGAGACATCCCACCAAGTACCTTTTTGGTTTTTTGTTTTTTAAAACCATGGCCAGTAGGTTTGATTATGAATTATTTTGATTAATTAAAAAAATTTCTTTTAATTTTGCTTAGTGTAAATAAATTGTAAATATTCAATTTTTACTTTAAAGTATTATCAATTT